CCGTCTGAGGCTCAGAGGCTCAGTCTTTGAGGAGGATTTAAGGTTGGTTCCTGGAGCTCTTTTAGCCACTCTGAGGGGGATTCTATGTGAGGGGATCGGGACTAGGGGGTTGGGGGTCAGGAAGCTGTCCCCGGGGGAGCCATCCAGGCCCATTCAAGGGTTGAGCACTTGTTTAAAGTTTGAGCTGCCCCCTCTGGGGACCTGGATTGTCCAGCCAAGGCCGTTGTCCGGCCTCCTTCCCCCAGTCCCTCCCAAGCCTCTTTGAACCTGAAGTCAGATATTTTTTCTTCCCCCCTCCCTCCTTGGTTTTCCCCACCCAGGGCCTAGGGCTGGAGGCTTGGGCCGGGGCGGTGGGGGAGGGAGAATAGTCAACTAAGTACTAAATATTCCGGTTCCTGAATGGGGGCAGCTAGGAACCTGACATGTGAGTCCCATAGTGGGGACCCCGAGGCGGGGGGGAGGGGGGTGTCTGATCCATCTGTTCAGACAAAAGTTGGGGGACTTGGGCCCAGTCAGGTCAGAGCCTGGCCCCTAGAAGAGAAGTGTGTGTATGTGTGAGTGTGTGTCGGCGAGGTGGTCAATCCCTGAGTCTGGTAGGTAAGTGGACTCTGGAGCGGAAGCCTTGAGATATGGGAGGCCTTGTCTGGCAATTTGACCCTGGAAATGCGGTAAAAATTTATCAGTTTGGGCAGATGGGCACCAGGCATTCGCAGCTTTGGGGTAACGGAATCTGGCCAGTAATCTGGATGAATGCCTGGGTTCCTGGATTGGGGGCGGGGGAAGACATCAGGGGTGGTAATGGGAATTTGAGGGTAGCCATTCCTAGCAGTAGCTGGCACAAACACAATAAATGTTTGAGGAGCTGAGAGGGTGCCGAGGTCTTTGGAGATGCGTCAAAAATCTGGGCTCCTGAAGAACCTGGAGGTTTCAAGGGGTTCCAGACAGCTCCGAGGTGTGCAGAGCCCGAGGGAGGGCCCGGCAGCCCGGCTGAGAGTTGGAAGAGAAGGTCTGCGTGGGGTCCTGCACCGAGGGCCTTGGGGATGGGGCCTGGAGAGGCGCAAAATTGGGGCTCCCTGGCATTCACCTTCCACGAACACCACCGCCACCAGCAGGCAAACACACTTCGCCTCAGTTTCTCCCGCCCCCATCGTCCTCTCCTCCCCCCATCCAGGGGGCGGGGCCAGAGGTCAAGGCTAGTGGGTGGGATTGGGGAGGGAGAGAGGTGTTGAGCAGTGCCTTGGCGAGCCCTCCTTTTACCAGGCCCCCGGCTTGGGGTGCCGTGCTTCCCCATGGCGGGACACCTGGCTTCCGACTTTGCCTTTTCGCCCCCACCAGGCGGTGGAGGCGATGGGCCAGGAGGGCCGGAGCCGGGCTGGGTTGACCCTCGGACCTGGCTGAGCTTCCAGGGCCCTCCCGGCGGATCAGGAATCGGGCCAGGGCTTGGCCCCAGTGCCGAGGTGTGGGGGATTCCCCCGTGTCCCCCGCCATATGAGTTCTGCGGGGGAATGGCCTACTGTGGACCTCAAGTTGGAGTGGGGCTGCTGCCCCCAGGCAGCCTGGAGACCCCTCAGCCCGAGAGCGAGGCGGGAGCCGGAGTGGAGAGCAACTCTAAGGGGACCTCGCCTGAGCCCTGCGCTGCCCCGCCTGGGGCCGTGAAGCTGGACAAGGAGAAGTTGGAGCAAAACCCTGAGGAGGAGGCGAGTGAGGTGCAGTGGGGCTGGGGAAGTGGCCGGGCGGCCAGAGAGGGGAAGTGGTGGCCTGCAGCTGCCTAGGCCTGAAACCCTAAGAGCGGAGTGGGCATGGAGGGGTGTGTGGCCACCGCAAGCTCCTGAGAGGGAGAGCAAGAGCACGGTGGGAAGTGGAGACCAGAATTCCGGGAGAACCGCAAGGGGTGGCCTCGGGGAGTCAGAAGCAACCCAGGCAGGCCTTGCTTCCCACCCCAGCCTGCCCTTGTCAAGTAGGTCCCTTCCATTTCCTAGGCTTGACCAGAGTCGGGTCACTCAATTTATTACCAGTCCGCAGCAGACCTAGCTTGGGGTTTGAGCCTCTTCTCCCACCCTGAGCCCTTCTTTATAATTTGACCTTTATCAGACCCAAGATCTAGGCCTTAAAGCGTGGCTTGAGGGTAAAAACAGTGCTTATCCTGGGGTTATTGTTCCTGAAATTCGAGGGTGTGACTGGTTGCTGATTGAAGCTCCTGTTTAGGCTGTATGTAAACGTGTAGAGTGGGTTTACCTCCCGTCCAAGTTTAGGTCTTGTCTTCCCTTGACCTCTGCCTCTGAGCCAGTGAGTCACCATTATGCAGAGTGCACACCCTGGTACCCTCTTGTTAGGGAGTCGGAAGTACCAAGTTCAGCTGTAATTCCGTGAGATGTGAACAAGGAGAAAAACGTGGAAGAATTCATTTCCAGGCCATTCCCCATATGTAGGGTTTGCTGAGGAATTGAAGACTTCCATGTCCAGCCCTGCTGGGGACTATTAAGGATGTATCTTCCAGGCCACAGAAGAGACAAGTGTAAGCAATTAGAGATCAAGTACTAAGCCTTTAGGCCTCACAGAAGGAAGGAGGTGTGAGTGGTTTCAGCCGACCTAGTAGCCCTAGACTCTTTGCAGGAGGCGACTGCTGAGCCTTGAATAATAATGGCTGCCAATTGTGGTCCATTTCCTAAGTGCCTGGCTGTGTGTGCTCAGTTTCTACATCATTATCTCATTAACTGTCACAAAATCTTATAGGGAGGTATTCTTAGCCTATTTCATGGGTCTTAACTGTTAAATGATAAAGCTAAGATTTGAACTGGGGTTTACCTTATTTCAAATCCCCAAAATAGAATTTGGAAAAACTGTGATGGGGACAGCTGAGGACATTTATAGATTTGAAACATTGGCTGAGCAGAAGTTGGGAATGGAAGTTAGCCTATTTGAATTTCATGTGATTGGGCACCCTTGAAATACTTTAAGCCTTCGAGGACCTCACAAGGGACTAGCTACTCTTCTGGTTCCCTTGGCCACTGGCCTTCACTGAAATGCCCCAGGGCTCAGTCCATCAACCTCTGCTCTGTCCACCTTTCCTTCCTCTCATCCACCCTCAAGGCTCAAGTACTTTGGAGACTTGACTGCCTCATTTTCTGTCTTCTGCTGAGATGTCTTCCTGATCATCCATCCATCACGCAGTAAGTAGCTCAAGGCCCAGACCAGTCATCCTCATTCTTGCTCATCTTTATCCACACCTTTAGAAACACTGCTATCTTAACGTTGGAAATACACCCTAAATCAATACTTAACTATCACCCTGGTCCCAGTTACTACCATCTATTCCTGGATAACTGCAGTTGCCTCCCTAGCTATACCCTCATTTCCTCCTTAGTCTGTTTGTCCCCTTGTCAACTGGAATGAACACTTGAAATGTGAGAGTCCAATAGTTTCACTCACTGCAGCATCTACAGGAACTGCCCTGCTTGCCCGTCTCATCTCAGCTTCTCTCCTCTTCCATTGCCTCTGTCCATTCGCCCAGCTCCTTACTGCTACCAGGACTGCCCACCTCAGGGTCTTTTCACTTGCCTCTTTTCCTTTGCTCAAACTTCACTTTCTTCATTTTATTTAAGATTGTCAACTTCCCCATAATATCCTATCCTGCTGTACTCTGTAATTCTCTACCCTGTTTGAGCTTTCTCATGGCACTTCTAACTTACTGGATAATAATCTGTCTCTCCACTTTAGGATGGAAACTCCATGAGGCCAGGGCTTCTTGTCTACTTCGTATAGCTGCTGGCTTATAGAAGGTGTACAATAAATTTGTTGAATTAATCAGAATACTTCTATATTGCAAACAGATTGGGAAAATAAGGGATAATCAGATTTATAAAAAATTGAGCACCAACTGTATACAAAGCTCTTTATGTATACAAAGCTCTTATGACACCTATAACTTTTTGTCGTGTGTTTGCGTACATGCATGCCGTGTCATAGTCTGTGGGACCCTAGAAACAAGCTGGGAGAATATACTGAAATGAGAAGCAGAGAGACATGGTGCTCTTTATTTCTCTAGGGCTAATATCCCAGTCAGAAAGCTTTTGTATTAAATGAGCTAATAGGTAGGAGCTCCCTTCCTAACCTGACAGGTGTTCTCATCGAGGCCAGGGCCTGTCTTTCTAGTTAGCGCGTGTGGTGCTCTGCAGCTACTGGATGTGTTGCTTTCTGGTGTGAATGACATTTGTAGATAGTTGTCGCTAGATGTTAGGTAGGTAGCCTGGATGCAGAGATACTCCCACTGACCACTCCTTGGGCCCAGGTGAGACGGGGAGAGGGGTGGTCGACATTTGGTGTGTTTGTGTTCTTTCTTACATGTCCTCTGCTTTTTTAAATGCTGTCCCAGGACATGAAAGCTCTACAGAAGGACCTCGAGCAATTTGCCAAGCTCTTGAAGCAGAAGAGGATCACTCTGGGATATACCCAGGCCGATGTGGGGCTCACCCTCGGGGTTCTCTTTGGTGGGTGCCTCTCAGCATGTTCTAACCCACAGAAACCAAAGGATCACATCTCCCCTGGAAGGAAAATTCCTGAACTTGGACCTTTCCTCCCTACCGAGGGAGTGAGAGGAGGGTGTTTCAGGAGCAGGCTCTACTTTCACCCATGAATTGGGTAGAGAGAGAGGGAGAAAAATAACTTGGGCCTTGAACTTCCTGTGGGAAGAAGTGGGATCCTGGTGTGGGACTTTGTGAGGGCAGGAAGAGGTGGCAATGCCTAGGTTTTGGGCCTGCTGCCTCACGATGCTACTCTTTCAACCTCCTCAGGGAAGGTGTTCAGCCAAACGACCATCTGCCGCTTTGAGGCTCTGCAGCTCAGTTTGAAGAACATGTGTAAGCTGCGGCCCCTGCTGCAGAAGTGGGTGGAGGAAGCTGACAACAACGAGAATCTACAGGAGGTGAGGGTGGGTGGGTGCACAGGGACCTCCTATGACTCAGCCTAATTTCCATGGCTTCCACCCTGGCTGACAGCTCTCCTTGCAGCAGTAGTTCTCAATGGATGGAGGGTAATTCCTCAGTGCTGCCGGGACAAGGTTCAGGCCACCGGTCTAAACCTACCCTTGCAGAATTCTTTTTTTTTTTTTAATACCATCAGGCTCTGGTAACACATCGATTCTCAATGCCTTTTAGCAATTTGCTCACGTGACTGACCTATGATGCCATTGCTCAGCAGGCTTGAAACTTGCCCTCCCACCTCCCTTGTCACCCCTTCCTCACCTGACCAGATATGCAAAGCGGAGACCCTGGTGCAGGCCCGGAAGAGAAAGCGAACAAGCATCGAAAACCGCGTACGGGGCAACCTGGAGAGCATGTTCCTGCAGTGTCCGAAGCCCACCTTGCAGCAGATCGGCCACATCGCCCAACAGCTCGGGCTTGAGAAGGATGTGAGTGCCTGACCCTGTGTGCTCCATGTCCTCCTCCCCAGTCCTCATCCTGCTCGTACTAGCTCTGGCTCCTGCCCTTCAACCAGTCTGGATCTGTTGATTTTGGGCCAAATGACTAAGCAAAGCCAGACCCACCTTCAGGAATTTATGAGCGAATGTCACTCTTTTCCCTTGTGTTCTCCACTCTCAGGTGGTCCGAGTATGGTTCTGCAACCGTCGCCAGAAGGGCAAACGATCAAGCAGTGACTATTCTCAACGAGAGGATTTTGAGGCTTCTGGGCCTCCTTTCTCAGGGGGACCAGTATCCTTTCCTCTGGCACCAGGGCCCCATTTTGGTACCCCAGGCTACGCGGGCCCTCACTTCACTACGCTGTACTCCTCGGTCCCATTCCCTGAGGGTGAAACCTTTCCCTCTGTGTCTGTCACCTCTCTGGGCTCTCCCATGCATTCAAACTGAAGTGCCCGCCCTTCCCAGAAAAGGGGAGAGCTAGGGAGAGAGGAGCCTGAGGATTGTACCACGGCTTTGGGATTAAGTTCTTCATCGCTAAAGAATTGGGAACACAAAGGGTGTGGGGGCAGGGAGTTTGGGGAAACTGGTTGGAGGGAAGCTCAATGATGCTCTTGATTTTAATGCCCACATCACTCATCACTTTGATCTTAAATAAAGAAGCCTGGGACACAGTAGGTGGATACTTTTGTCTTTGGTTTATCCTCTTCTATTTACTGAAGACATGGGGATACTCAATAGTAGATATTAACAGCTGTCAGACCCAAAATCACCCTGAAGCCAAAGTGCTTAACCTTAGAGTCACACAATGCAGAGGAAGAGCTGGGACTAGAACCTAAGTTTATTTGTGGAGGCCCTTAAAGATGTGAGCTAGTTCTTAGGAGTTCACGACATGGGATCCTGAGGAATTTGAGCTGAATGCCTTATTTTCACCTACAGATCTGCTTACTGTGTAGCTCATTCCCTACTAGGAGCTGGCTTTTTGCTTTCCCCACCCTACCCTGGAAGTCCAGTGGTGTTATGCTAAGAAATGAAGTCTTTACTTATTTCTTCTGCATATCACCCCAGCCAGAAACTCTACCCTTGTGCTTTCTTGAAACCAGGGTCCATTTGGTCTCCCTTTAAGGTTTCTGCCTACTCTGTGTGAGTGACTCAACAGACCCTTCACACTTGTCCTGGATCTGATGCTACCATATTGGCGTCCTTGCTCTAGAGCTGTTTCCTCAATGTGGAAAAACTTGGGTTGGTAAATTTAGATAGGAGTAGAAAGAGGGGATGGATTTCTAGGTTGCAATAGACTGTGAAGATGAGGCTTTCCTAATAAGAACTACAGAAACGCTGCTTTGACAGTATCTTGGATTGGTATGAGGCTCACAGAAAACAACCAATGGGTTAGGTTGATCCACACTGGACCAGGTCAGCATCTGCTTTAGCTGGTTTACCAGGCTTTCTCTTCCCTGGCAGTACAGGCACGCCTTGTTTTATTGCACTTCACAGGTATTGCATTGTTTTACAAATGGGAGGCAAGACCTTCCACCAGTAAAAAGATTACAGCTCACTTTATTGAGGTGATCTGGAACTGATCTGCAACATCTGAGGTATGCCTGTACCGGTGAAATTTGTAAAAGTTCTGCCAGCTACATGAAACTGACCAAATCTCAATTACCTTATTTTAATGGCAGTAGATCTGTTTTCTTTAAACTAGAAACCTTGATTACCTGGATTCCTTTTTTCCCATTTCCCACATCCAGCTCATCCTATATATTTGCACTTTTTCAGTGAACAGGTTTGTTTTTCTCTGCCTTTTTCACTCACCTCCCCTTCCCCTAAGGATTCACAATTTCCAAACATTTCTATATCCATTCTCCCAAGAATTGGAAAGCGAAGAATATTGGACCCACAAAAAGAATAACTAGCAGTGAATGAAGCTGCTTGTACTTTATTTGAAAATGAAAGCGAACCTCTGAAAAGCCATGATACAAATATGGTCAGTGGTGGGACTATCCACAATGTAAGGAAGTCTGGGGACTGTGCTCTAGGTTTGCCCAAGAATGCCTTAGGTGATACCATCCAAGAATCTCAAGAACTCACTCGTTCAGGTCCGGAGCTTACATCTTCCCAGGCATGGTCTCTGCAATTGATGAGTGCTCTCATCACAGACATTCTAGTGTCCTTAACAGCTAACAGTGGGAATTTTCAGTTCATTGGCAACTTCCTGAAGGCAGCATTATCTTTAGCAGGAAACCATCTCTTCTGTTACCTTGGCCATGAGGACCTGAATCCATAGCAATGGACTGTAGTCATTCCCTCCTGAGCAGGCAAGGGGGTTATTTCTTAGGGCTCACTGGCATTCCACTGTGTCCACTCATAGCTTGGAGGTGCCACTCATCCCTTGGTGGAGGGCCTTAGGTCTGGATGCCCACATGACACCTTGCACACTGGAAGTCAGCCTCCCTAGCAGCCTGGATGCTGCAGACAACACAGGCCACATGGAACCAGACGTTACAACCATCACGCTGTCTCTTCTTGGGGAAGGCAGCAACAAGAGGCTGCACAGGGCTCCCTGCCCCCAACTGCACGGGGGTTGCTCACTGTGTACTTCAGAGGATGCCCATGATGGTTTCTGAAGAAAGTGACACAAAAACCAGGGTCACTGGAAACCTGTAAGAGAAGGCTAGAACTCCCCTGGATGACAACATGGAGGACCTAGATACTCACTAAACTAATGGTAAACCTGGTTAATAGAGTTAACCCAGGTCTTGCCATTCCAATATCTGTTCTCTGTCCACCTCTCCTCTCCAACCCCTGAGTAGAGGGCCACCTCCCAAACCAAGGCTCTAAAAAGGAATCAAAAAGCAGTGAAATGTTGAGACAAGGATCTCTCCACTTACCCACGAGGTGTCAGTGGGGTTTTCTCTACACGGAGTTTCTTCCTGGGCTCTCTCTGGACTGGTGAGCTCTCAGGAGCCTCTCTCTCATCATCCAATTCTGCCAACACTCGGTGAGCCGATTTCCTCCTATTTCTTGGGGGTGGGGCAGAAGGCGTGGTGTCTACCTCCTCAGGGGGAGTGGGAGCAGGCAGGCTCTGTGGCCCACCCCTAGTCCGGGAGAAGGTGAGAGGCTGAGGCTGGAGCTTGCTGAGGCTGCCAATGGAGTTGAGGATCAACGTGGCTTTTGGAGCAGGGGACAGGGTGCTGAGGGGGCGCTGTGGAGCCCCCTTGGGGGGCAGCATGGGCCAGAAACCAGCCCTGGTTCCCTCTTCATCCCTAGACCGTGGGATGGTAATGGCAGCAAAATCTTGAGGTTTGACATGGACTTGCTGAAACATGAAGTAAAACTCTGAGGGGCTGCTTCCTGGGGGCCCTTCAGGGCCAAAGGTCAGAAGGTCACCATCACTCAACTCCAGCCTGTGACCCCTTGGGAGTCGAACATTATTGACCAAAGTACCTGTTGATGGTGGAGCACCAGACAGATAACAGAGAATGACAAAGTTAACCTCTTTGTGCCTCATTTTCCTTGTCTAAAATGGGGATGTTAATGCTCATTTACATTCAATGCATTTAAAACAGCGCCTGGTTCAGTAGTCAGCACTAAAGGAATATAGTTATTTAATCCTCACAACACTCTTCAAACAGACCTTACAAAGTCTCCCATTTTACTAAGTCCCAGAAAAAGTGAACTGACAGGCCTGAGGTTTCACCTGGTGCCAGTGGCAAAACTCAGATGTGAGCCCAGGCCTTCTGAGGCTGGCTGTGACCTCCAACTCAGGGAGTAAGACACATGCCCATATCACTGAAACATAATTCAACATCCTAAATGCCCTAAGACAGGAACAAAGTACCTCAGCAAATCTGGAAACTGAGATGAATCTGAGCTTGGCTCCTAAATGGCCCCAGAACATCACTGTGATATTTCCCTGATGATGCCCCAGGCCCTGGATCTACATCCCATCCCCATATGAGCTAAACCAGGACCATTAAGAGTCAGCCCTGCAGAGAGCTTCTGAAACTGCAAACTTTGGGTGGGAAGACAAGAGGTCTGGAGTACAACCGTCCATCTAATCTGATAGTTTGTAGGCAGGCAGGGTTCCTGAGGAGCCCCTTAATCATTCCAACCTAGAACTGTCCACTGCTCACCTTGGTTGCTATGGTCCTCCAGGCTTACCCTCCAGTCATCACCCCGGAGCTCAAGGTGAAGCTCTGCGTGGACTCCAGAGATTAGGCCAGGCTCCTGTTGGGGCCACGGGGCCACATCACATAGGTCAGCCATGAGGCCCAAGGATAGATATAGCCAGCCCCACTTGGGAGATGGACTGTGTAGAGGTCACCGCCCCTGCTGCATCCTGTGCACAGCAGCTGAGAGCAGGGCAGCATGGGCACTGACCCCTCTGCACCACCTCTTCCACTTCAGGAATCCATCACCTTTCCCACTCCTGAGCCAAGCACCGTGGCTTAAGTTCTCTTTTCGTCTGATGCAAACTTGAGCTATGCTTTGTGCAATTTTGACTTCGAGCACACTTCCTGAGCCGTGTAAATTCAGAGTGCAAGGATCCTAGGCATGCGAGGCAAAACTGGCCATCAAGCAGCTTTGAACTGAAAAATTCTGGGAAGATCACAGTACAGTGCAAAAACGAACATGGCCTATGGAATCTTAGATGAAATGGATCCTCAGTCTGCAAAATACTCAGGGATCCTTCAGTATGTGCAAGGCAATATACATTAGGCAGCTTCTGGAGAAGTGCAAACTGTAGCTGTGTGTATTGGGGGGGGGGTCTTACTTTTGTGCAATACTAACTTGTCACACCTCAATATAATTTGGAAAAAAAGAAGCTTCTTCCTGTCAGACCTGCTTATCCACATAGAGTAGGCAGACCTCCTGCTCTTCCGCGCCTTGCTCTTCTGGCCAGTCCCTCGCTCGTAGTTAGCTTGAACCCCAGTGGGAAGTGACTCCACTGTCACCCTCCAAAAAGGCAGTGCAAACAGGCCCCCCTGAGTTCTCCAACAAAGCAGATCTAAATTCCAGCTTCTCTGGGGGGGATAAAACCAGAAAAAAAGACCTCCCCTAGATCCTGCAAACCTAGCCTTTTCCCTCCCCGCCCCAGCCCAGTTTCAGATCTACCGCGCGGTGCAGTCTCGGAGTGGTCTCCTCTCGCGGTAGTGCCAGCCTGTGCGGCGTCCCGGGACCCCTCGGGATGGGCCTGGCCTGATGCTCCCGTGGTTATTTGACAGCTAAGAAGTCGGACCAGGAGAG